GCCATTTTGGTATCTAGTAACTGCTCGAGTAGCCAGATCGAAGAGACTGAGTCCTTCGGCTGATACACACCGTTCAGGTGGCGCCAAGCGTCAAGGGCAGGAGCAGCTGATGTCTTGTACGAACGGATGTTCAGCTGCTCCGCCGGCGACATGTTGCGCAAGAGGATTCCGTACGCCATCAGGGACTTGTTGTAGTAACGAGTCCTGGCATCGTCGGTGTCCTCGGCGGGTTCCGCGTAGCTCCCACCGAAATAATGGAAGATTTGGGCGTTCTGCAGCAAGAGCTCCATTTTGAAGCTCCAGGTATAGAAATCTCTGCCGTCGAAGCAGGTACTTGTCTTTATTTTTTATATGCTGAGAAACCTTGATTGCGCAGAGAGCAGTGCCTCTTCACCGGGACGGGGAGCCTTGGGGGTTGAACCATTTGTGTCGAGGGAGAAAGTGTGCGGGGCGGCGTTCTGGCCGTTTGGGGCCGGTTGAGAAGGTTGCGAGGATGTTCCCGCGTCGCCGTTCCGCAATCTCTAGAGCCCTTGCTCCAAGCTGGTGAGTCGCTGAAGAAGTTGTGCGAGGACTTCGGTCCCGATCGTTGTCATTTCCTCGCTTGTCGCAACCGGGTTGGGTTGCGCTTCAGCCATCAGATTAGTCTAACCACCAGATCCTCCGGCCATTCTCACACGCGAGCGTGTGCCGGACGCCACTTCCCGGATGTCGTAATTTTCAGGAGTGGCAGTGCGAAGGATTCCCGAGCCGCTCTGATACCATGCTACGATCAGAAGGTGATCGCTACCAGGATCTACTCGGGAAGGTTCGCATGTAGGTAGATAGTGTTGGTGGGCCCTTGACCTCAATAGCAGAGTGGATGTAAAATGCTTGAGATGAATAAAACATGCAAATACAACGATATAAATAAGAGCGCAGGGGAATATGAATCGACCTAGCTAGTCATGTACTCTAAGGGGTACATTCCCTTATTCAAATACATTCCCAACCGTGCGGCGCGTACAGTTACGAAACTGTTCCCGCCAAAACCCTCCTGCCTGCAGCTGCCCGATGCCGTCTGCTCCGACGGTCCAGATGCACCCAACCGTCTGACGCTTCGAGTCTATTATGACTCTTCGCATTCATTCTCGATACTGCGTGCTTCCTTAGCTGCGGTCTGGAGTGCACTGTATTTTTCATTCATTACTATTCATAACAATTCCAACTGTATCCAGCACTCTTGATTACAACATTCTAAGAAATGATTACTTCCAACACCTTAAATATAACCCTCGTCTTGATCGATTGTATAGCGAGGCGTAATACTGGTCTCAGTGCCTAGGATTTGAATCTCGGCTGGTCAGAGATTTTGTTAACAACGAGATGTTGAATGCGGTAACTCAATCGTGAACCCAACAAACTGTTCGTCACTACCATGGCCCACCAGGACAATCGTTGAAGATCGAGATTGAGGTCCTTGCAAGGGCCCAACGAAGACGTGGGCACTAAAGGGTGACGCATGTAAATGGCGTGTGTCATTCGACACAAATTTGAAAGTTCGCCCTTTTTAGCCGATTTTCATTTTTTTTTTTCGTATAGTAAACTGTCTTTTGTGATGCTATTCAAACCGTGGGCATGAAACTTCGCTAACCCGCGACCATAACCTACGAGCAATTCGCAGGTGATTCGGAAATTTATGCCACCGATGTTCGTCCACTTGCAAATTTCGCCTATCTTCTAGGCTTGGCCAAAAGTGCACACACTTGGAAAAACTTCAAGCAAGCATAGAATCGTATTAACCCTAACTTTTGTATCATTGAGTGTGTTATCGAAGTGGTCAAACGCTGCGGACAACTCATTGCAACATTTGCGGACAAATGTTGAGTATGAGCATGTGTTTGTTTGCATGTGTGCGTGCGCGCGCGTGTGTGTGTGTGTGTTTTTTTTTTTTTTTTTTTTGGGTGTGTGCGTGCGTGCGTGCGTGCGTGCGCGCGCGCGCGCGTGCGTGCGTGCGTGCGTGCGTGCGTGCGTGCGTGCGTGTGTGTGTGTGTGTGTGTGTGTGTGTGTGTGTGTGTGTGTTTTTGTGTGTGTGTCAGGGCCTCAGATTCGTTTGAGGGTACCCTGTGGACTCAGGGCAGTTTTTCAGGATTCCCCTTTTGTCCTGAAATGCCAGGACTGAACAAGGGTGGGTATGCTGTAGGGTCAGTGCTACAAGTGACATTATCCTGCCCCGTCAGTGCTACATTTCATTTTATCCTGTGCACTTTGTTAAAGGCTGGTTTTGTTTCCTATTCATTTTCTGTAATCACATCACAGACCAATCAGGCAAGCATAGCGCATCGTGGCGCCAGCGAGGCATCGTGACGCGTGAACTTCTGTTGGTTGTGTCTGCATGCGGGTGTGGGTGGATGAAAGCAGTGTTTACAGGCTAGGAGGGAAGCACGTGATGCCAGCGTACAGCAAAGATGGCCGTGCTTTCCCCTCGTGTATGTAAAGTGAGCGCGGCGCACTCTCATTGGTCGTTATTGCTGCAATGCAGGTTTCCATTGTGGGCGCGGCGTGGTTCTGCGCCAGCAGAGGAAACAAAGTCAGGGCGACAATTACGGAGCGTAACTTACGCTGTACCTGGTCGGTGGTTGGGTACACTTGGCTCCGGGCGAAATTGGCGTAGTACTCGCTTCAGGACGACACTCAACACTATACTGACTCATCAGGGCTGAACCTACAGCCCTATACTGAATTTCCAGCACGCAAAATAACACTTATACTGAAATTACAGGACATCTATGTCGCTTATGCTGTTTCTCCAGGACTGGCACACGGCAGCTATCCTGAATTCAGGAGAAACAGGATAAATTATCCTGATATCTGAGGCCCTGGTGTGTGTGTGTGTGTGTGCGCCTTTACAAAAAAAATCTTAATTTAGCTTTTATTCATGTTTAAGGATGGAATCCACTATGATTGTGTATACATAATGGTGCTGTTCGCCAGCACATCGTTTTTTTTTATTGAAAAAAACGGCATCAGCATCGTGACCGCATATGGAAACGGGGGTGGAACCCTCCTTCGTGGTTTGGGCGAAATGCAGCCCGAGAAACTACGCGCGCCCAAACGGAGAAATTTCGCAACCGCGTCGGGAAGGTCCATCCCCACCTTCCCCCCAATGGCGCGAAATTTGCACATCACTGACCCACCTGCTGCCCGCTGACCAAAAAAGGCTCAACGTGGGTAAAACACGCAAATAAAACGCACCCCGCTCAAACACAACTCCCCCCACCCCGCGCTCAGTTCCAGACACAACTCACACTCCACAAACACCTTTAGGGTATACTTGTATCCCTGCGTCAAACTGAAGGCATGTTCGAGGGTTCCCCTGCACAGCAATGCGTCCGCGGTGCCACCGCTGTGCCACCTCTGTGCTTCGAAAAACGCGGCATGACGATGGCATTGCAAGGGGATGGTGTTTTGCCTGTGGCGGAAGTTTCGTCCCCGCTTCCATATGCCGTCGAAATGTAAAAATTGGTGTACAAAAGTGGGCGTTCGCCAGACGCCCAGTTTGTTAAATGGTTCGGACGGTAGGTGAGGCTCGGCACATTTTTCACGGGCTGACCAAGCTGACGGAGGTTAACGAACTCTAACTGACGGGATCAGGAAGGCGAGACCCACCTTCCTGATCCCGTTGATATGCCGTCATTTTTAGTTATAATGGTGCTGGCGAACAGCACCAATAAATCCTTAGTCACATTTGCCACCCGAACCCCTAAACCCTGGCGACAAGTTACTGCGGAGGAAAATTCCCCGCACGAATTCCAGATTTTCGCCAGCCAACACCTTCGCGCTGGCAAGCCTGGTTCAGAACAAAAACTTCTGAACCTCCGCTTGTCAAATCTAGACCCTCGTTTTAACTAAAACAGGTTGAAGGGGCGAGGGTGTGTCTCGAATGCTCTGGTCATGTAGGTCCGACACGACCTTGCGGACCAGCTCACAAACCATCGACGGTCAGGACCAAGATTCGGACTGATACCCCTCGTTAGACATCGAATGGTACTACAGCGTGCCATAGATTTTGTCGCCAGACCAGTCCGCGCTTGCTCCGTGGCGGACCAGTCCGCGCGTGCTCCCCCATATGTTTTGCGAAGTCTCTTGCTGTTCGTGAGTTTCGCGTTAGACAGGATGGAGAGTTCTCAGAGGGCACAATCATAGGGTAACTCGGTGTTAACACGTCTGAATCTCGTCGTTACTACTGTTGTGATTCGTATATACTGTACAGACCGAGTCGCGACTAGATCAGTTCCTGCCTGCTACACGACTGGTCCGCTAAGTGGGTCCGTCGGACCAGTATTCCGGTCCAGGCCCAACGAATTCGAGCACAGACCACTCGCATAAGACCCCTCTTAGTGTCCACGCTACGGCTCAAATATAGCCCTCATTGTGACCCAGTGGGTAGCGAGGCGTGATATTTGGGCTGAAAACGAGAGACTCTGTGCCAGGAAACATGCTCGCATCGCATCTCGTTTGGACCTAGTGCCGATGACCTAAGGGGTTTCCCCTCCTCTCTTACCCAGCGACTGACGCGCTGAAGACGGGGGGCGATCATCTCTTCTGCCCCTCACACGCTCCCCCTATTCTGCGCGGCTCCCCTATTCCGCGCGGCTCCCTATTCCGCGCGGCTCCCCTATTCCGCGCGGCTCCCCTATTCCGCGCGGCTCCCCTGTTCCGCGCGGCTCTTCTATTCCGCGCGGCTCCCCTCCAGTCACTGCGGCTCATCCTCACCACCACCGCACTCCATGGCGGACGCTTCCGCCGATCCGCTTCCCCCCGTCCCGCCGTCCCCGCCAGTGGCGCCCGTCTGCGCGCCGCTCAGGACCCTCGACCAGCTGCTCCAATGGCGCCCCGGTAGCCCCGCCACGGGCGGAATCTACAACCGCGCCACCGCGCCCTTCCGCGCGCGGAGCGCGCCTGGCGCAGCCCGCGGCGGGCTTCCGCGGCGGCGGCAGCGGGTGTTAGCATGTCACGACATGATGGGGGGGTACGTGGAGGACGAGCGCGCGCAGGGGAGCGCGAGCAGCTGGGTGTACCGCGCGTGGGAGTGGGACGCGGTGGACGTGTGGGTGTACTTCAGCCACCACCTGGTGACCGTGCCGCCCGTCGCCTGGAGCAACTGCTGCCGCACCCACGGCGTGCAGGTGCGCATGGGGGTAGGGATGCGGGTAGGGGTGACACTGCAATGGAAATGGCATGGGGGGGTGGAGGTGCGCTTGGTTGAGAGCGGTGGGGGAAGCACGGAGAGGGAGAATGCAGAGAGGGGTAGGTGGGATGGGCGGCGAAGGACAATAGAACGATCAAAGGCGTGCCGTTGCCGTGACGCCCACCAATGCCCGTTTGCCACCTGTCACCTGCCACCATGCCGCCATGTCCATCCACCCTGGCACTGTACACACACACCACTCCACTGCCATTCAGGACCTTTTGTTTCTGCCATACCAAGCAACCCATGCACGCGTCCTCCCCCACTTCCGAATGCACCTGTGTGTGGCCTCGCATGGTCTGCTCACACACCATGACATGCGAGCCACACACCCCTCCTCCCCCCTTCTCTTCCCCCCGGTCCTCCTCCCTCCACCCCACCCCCACCCACCTCCGCCGCCCCTCCCCCCCCCAGGTACTGGGCACGTTCATCACGGAGTGGGAGGCGGGAGCTGCAGTGTGTGGGCAGCTGCTCGCCTCGCCCGCCACGGCTGAGCGCGCTGCCCACCAGCTCGCCCTGCTCGCGCACTACCACGGCTTCCACGGCTGGCTTGTATGTTCTGCTGGGCTGCTGGGGGAGGAGGGGAAAAGCGGGAGGAGGGGGAGGAAGTGGGGAAAGGGGAAGGGGGGCGTTTGTGGGTCATGGGGGCTGTGGGGCAGGGTAGGGGTTGGACGAGGTGGAGTGTTGTCTGGGGTGGATGGGACGGCGTCCGGTGCTCCTTGCTGCTGCCTTTCTTCTGGGCCACGTTCCCATGTTGCCATGCTGCACTCTGCTCTGCACACGTTACGACGAGTGCCCCCCACAATCGATGCGCTTGGCACTTGCATCACGTGGATTGCGTTATCTCCTCTGTTCACACCGCATCCCACCATGCACTTCCCTGCTCATTCCTCATCACCAACTCACATCACAGCAAGCATCCCTGACAACCCACTGCACCCGTCCCCACACACGCTACCCCACGGCATGGCACGTGGCAGGTGAACATAGAGAACCCAGTGGAGAAGGAGAGGGTGCCCACCATGCTGCACTTCCTGAGCGCCCTCACCCGCCACATGCACGCCCTCTCCCCCCACGCCCTCGTCCTCTGGTCAGCTGCCCGCCCTGCCTGCCCTGCCCATGCTGCTCGTCCTGCTCGTCATAGCTGACCCGTTCCCCGCTGCATCAGCCTGCCTTTTGTCTGCTCTACCATCTGTTTCCCTTGGCTCTGCTGGCTTCACCCCATCCCTTTTGACCCCCCACCCACCACTCTTCCCACTCTCCCATCTCGTTCTCTCCATCTACCCCCTCTCTCTCCCCTCTCACCCTCTCTACCCCTCTCTCACCTTCTCTCCCCCTTGTCTCCCCCTGTCTCCCCTTGTCTCCCCCTTGCATGCCCTCTCCCCTGCACAGGTACGACAGTGTGACGGAGGACGGCGAGCTGAGGTGGCAGGATGCGCTCACCCCGGCCAACCGCTGCTTCTTCCATGTCTGTGACGGCATCTTCACTAACTACTCCTGGAAGGTGCGCTGCTGCTGCCACCTGTGCCGCTCCCCTGCTGCCCTGCTCCCCTGCTGCCCTGCTGCCCCGCTTCCCAGCTGACCTTTTGCGTTGCTGCTGTGTTTTTTTCCGTTCGCTCCCCCCACTCACTTCCCAACCCCCACTCCTCCACTCCCTCATGTCTCCACACACACCACATGACACTCCACACGCCATGCCTCTCACCCTCCTATCACCTGCCCTTGCGTCAACCACCGACCATCCCTGCCATGCCCTCCCTGCCCTCCCTACCCCCACGCACGCTCACACCACACCACGCCAGGACCCTGCTAACGTGCTGTCGTCTGTGGCCCTAGCGGGCAGGCGTGCGGGCGATGTGTTCATGGGGGTGGACTGCTTCCTCGCACCGGGCCGTGCTGCCAGGGGCTTTGCCACAGGCCAGGCCGTGGGCGTGGCGCTGCAGGGCAGGGCGTCCGCCGCCGTGTTTGCACCCGCGTGGGTGTATGAGACTCGCCAGGGGGCCAGCTTTGACGCGGCACAGGAGAGGTGATGGGGGAGAGGGGCGTGGCATGGCATGGCACGGCTTGGCTTTGCATGGCATGGCTTGGCGAGGGACACTTGTTGGGGGAAAGGGGTTGTTGGGGGAGGAGAGAAGGGTGTTATGTCACAGGCCTCACATGTGCGTGGTGGTGGAAGTATAGGGCAACGCAGGTTCATTGCTTCTTCCATGCTCCTCCTGTGCTGTGCTGCATCCATGCACCCCTGGGGTGCAACTTCACAAGCTACTTCCCTCGCACAGCACGCTGCCAGCTTCCCTCTCCAGCTTACTCCCCCTTCACCGGATCCCCTCCCACCTGCCCGCTTCCCTGCCTGGCGCCCGTTTCCGTGGCCCGCTTCCCCTTCCTTTTCGCCCTGTCCAATCCCCTGAATTTTTTTATTTCCCCTCCCCCTGCCCCCCTTCCCCTCCTTCCTGCAACCCCTACCCCCCTCCCTTTGCCAACGTCCCCCTGGCCCCTCCCCTTGCCCCTGCCCCCCACCAGGCTATGGCACGGCATCCGCACAGCCCTCCGCTCGCACCGCTCGCTGCACTCGCACCACCCCTCCGTGCAAGCTCAGCAGGGCGGGCAGGGGGATGGGGCAGGGGGGATGCAAGGGACAGAGGGGGTGCAAGAGGGGGACAGCGAGGCAGGTGGCGGGATGAATGGGGCGGGGGAGAGTGGGGAGCAGGGAGCTGTCGCGGGCACTGGTGTGTGTGCAGGGGACGTAGCAGGCGAGTGGGGCGTGGAGTGTGGGGAGGAGTGCGAGACTGGCTTCCCCATCTCTCTGCCTCTCTTCACTGCCTTCGACCAGGTGTGTGCACTCATGCACTCTTGCACCCCATGCAACTTTGCACCTGCACACCTACACACCCCATGCCATACCCATCTTTGCCCATCTCTGAATTCTCTTCGGTGTCCCTTCCTGCCCTGCCTCCACGTCCCCAGCACCTCCCTCCCCCCCCTCCCCTCTCCCCGTCACCTCGTTTTCCTCCACTCAATCCCCCCCTCTCTCTTCGCTCTCCTTCTTCCTTGCTTTTTTTTATCCTGTGCACTCTTTCCTTCTCCCCTGCTCTTTCGCTCCTCACATTTAACACACGCTCACAGCATTCCCACACCATCTCATCCTCTCTTTCCCTCCTTCAGGGCGTTGGCACCAATGTGTGGTTGGCTGGCCGCCATGTGGCGAGCTCCCATTGGAGCAACTTCTCTTGCCAGACCTTACGGGTAGGAGGAGGGAGGGAGACTGACAGGGGGGAAGGAGGAGAGGCAGGTGCGCAGGCCATGGGACAAGGGACAGTGAGAGGATCAGAGTTTAGCGCTTGGGGGTTACGGGTTGCAAGCTAGGGACAGGGGCTTGGGAGAGGGGAGATGGATTTAGGGAAGATGCGGTGTGGGGGGGATGGGTTTGGGGTTGGGGGATGGAGCAGGGAATGTGTTGGTACAGTGCCAGTGCCGCCATTGCTGCCGCAGGGATGAACAGTGCAGCACCTGTGTGCATACATACGTCGCACTCCTTGTGACTGCCCCCACTTCCTCTCCCCATGAGCACACTCCCTGCGTTTCCCCACTTCCACAATCACCTTCTCATCAACTGCCCCCCTTTCACCCCCCCTCGCATTCCTGCTCCCCCTCTCCCTTCCTCCCACTGCTCCCCCTCTTTCCCCACAGCCAGTGCACATGCACACGTCACGGCCTCTGCTCTCCACCCAGAATGCTCATCCCTCCCGCTCCGTCCGCTGTTCTCTCTGGTACCCTCACACACACGCACACCTCGCTCGCTGCACTGCTCATGCATGTATGGGAACTTGTGTTTGCGCTTTCTGGCACCATGCGGCAAGGCACCATGTGGCAAGGCACCATATGGCGTACATGCCACCACTAACCATTGGCGTCGCACCACTGATCCCCCACCTCCCTTCAGCATGCATGCTTGCAATCTCACACCATACCATCTGCAGACCTACCATGTGCCACTTGCTTGATGGAATGACTGTCACGTCGACCCCCCCTCACCCCCCACCAGGCACGGGATCGCATGGGAAGGCTCTGCTGCCCTCCTCCTCTCCCTCTCCCCCTCTCCGCCCCGTGGGGTAGTTCAAGACTCTCTGGCCAACCAGGCCCCGCCAGATGTGCAGCCAGGGCCAGCCACGTCAGCATGTGTGGTGGACGTGTTTCAGCCGCACGTGCATGTGCAAGCAGGCACCACTCTGCATGTGTCATACTCTGTGAGTGCACACATGGGAGAGTAGGCAAACAGACAGGTAGGTGGGCAGGTGGGCGGGTGGGTTCCATGTCCTTTGTGCACACATGCATGGTTCCAAAAATTATGGGCTTTCCGTCTCACTGCCCATTCATCCACATGTTTGTCCGTATCTTCCTGTTCTCACCCTTCATTCCTCATCCCCTATTTCCTCCCTGTGACCATTCAACTCCTAACCATCTCTCTCGCTGCCTGCCCCATCTCTCACACTCCCTCTCTTTCTCTCTTCTCCCCTCTCACTGTGCCACCAGGTGTTATCTGCCCCTTCCTTCATCACCTGTCTAGCCCTCTCCTTCATTCACCAACCTAACCACCACCGTCCCACCACCGCCACACCTCCCGCTCCCACCGCCCCACTCTCGCCCCCTCGCTCCACCGTCCTGCTGCTTCCCCCGCCACCACACACACCTTCCCTCCCTCACGCCGTTGCCCAGCCGTCCCTCTCCTCCCCCTCCGCCCCCCCCTCCGCCTCCCCCATCACATGCCTGTTTCCCACGGCCATCCACCCCTCCCCCTCCCACCTCACCCCCCTCACCACCTTCGTTAGTGAGACCCCACATCGCCCGCGCCCCTCCCACACTGGGGAATGCGGGAGGGAAGAGGTGGATGGAGGAGGCATGCAAGGAAGAGCGAGGGAGAGTGTGGGCGAGCGTGGGGCAGGGAGGGAGCACGGGGGATCAGGGGGGGCAGTGTGGGAGGTGCGGGAATATGAAGTGCCGTGTGCAGCCAATCGCGTGCTGACAGGTGTGCACGTGCTGCTGGTGGGTGTGGGCGATATGGGTGGTCTACCTGCTGGTGGTGCAGGAGCAACAGGCAGGGGGGGTGACAGGGAGCACACACCGCGTGTCACCGTGGGTAGGGATGTGATGCCTGAGGAACACACGAGCGCTGCTGATTGGCTTGTGGATGCGTGCAGGGCAGCATGGATCTTAGGGTCGTCGCTTGCATCGCCCACTGTGGCAGGGGATGGGGATGGGGATGGGGGTGGGGATGGGGGTGGGGATGGGGGTGGCGTGTGTGTGACAGCAGCATGCGAGGCAGTAGGCTCAGCTGCGACCACCCTAGAGGGCGCAGAGGACAGAGAGGACAGAGAGAACACAGATGCACAAGTCCCAGCAGAGAAAGCCCTTGCACATGCTGCCCTGCCGTGCCCTCCCCCTGCTGTGCTGCCAGCAGCGGCAGCAGCAGCGGTGGGGCATGTGCGCGTGGCAGCAGAGCCCGAAGCTGCGTGCGTGGCTCGGTGGAAGGTTGGAGACGTGCGCGCTGAGCAGGTGTGGTGGGTTCAAGGGGGGGCGAGGCAATGCGATGGAGTGGAGAGGACGGGGGGAGAGGAGAACACGGAGAGAAAGGAGGGAGCGGGGAGAGAGGAGACGGGGAAGGATGGAACAGAAGGCAAGGTAGAGGTGAGCTTACAAGGGGAGGTTGAGCAGGGTGGTGAGTGCGGGCACGGGAATGAGATGAAGGGGAATGAAGGAGGGAGCGAGGAGGCGTTCTTAAGCATGGTGCTGCACTGGACGACAGGTGGTGGTGCCATGGACTATGAGAGTGCAGTCGATGCCACGCTGCAGCAGCAGGAAAATACCTGGAAGCTGTGCAGCGATCATGGACCGGTGAGCTGCAGGTACGATGTGCTGGCAGCATTTGATTGGCTGGTTCCCGGTGAATTGACTGGAGGCGGAGGACAGGAGGCGGAGCAAGAGAAGTTACCTGTCTCAGATTCACCAGCAGCAACAATGCTACCTACACTAGCAGCAGCACACGCAGCTGTCCCTGCTCCATCTACGAGTGCAAGTACAGGAGCAAGGCTTGCAGACTCCCCCTTGGCAGCGCGGCTGGCCTCTCTGCACTGGCAGTGGCTGGGAGCGGCACATGTGCCGTCCTTTGTTGTGGACTCACTGCCCCTGCCACCTGCTGCTGTTGCAGATGCCGGGGGGGGAAGGCCGGGTGACGGGGTGTCAGTGCCGGTGGTGCTGCTGGTGGTGCGCCCGCGCTGCCTGCTGTGTGGTGCTGCCCCCGCTGTGGAGGACTGCCCGTGGCTGCTGCTGCACAGGCCATGAGCATCAAGGAGATGTTTCAGCACATCTTTCTCTCCTCTCATCCCTTGGGCCTCGGTTACGGCATGATCTTGTCGAGTGTCTACTGCCGCTTGAAGTTTTTCAACACATCAATTTAAAATCAGTGCGTAAGCTTCGCTAGGAATAAAGAAATGAATCCGAACCGTCTGCTATAGTCTATATACGTGCCATGAATACATGTCTTCAAACTAATATTTCCAACCATTTTTACAGAGGATACACGGAAATCCTACCAAGTACATTATTACATTATACCGTCAGCCCCCAGATAGAAGCGCCCCTGGGGGTATAAAAAAACACTGTTTTTTAGGGGGTGGGCTTATAATTGAGGATTTCTGTAAGCGCCGGCGTTTATATAACGACAAAAATGAAATTCAGTTTTTTTACACCATGCTGTAGATCTCGTTCTGCAACTGTAATCGAGTCGAAAATATATGGGGTCGCGAATCTGATTCTCGCGCAGCTTGGCAGGGATTGATTCCCTGCCAACACATGCTGACTAAGCGACAGCAAGTGCTGACTAGACGCGCAGCAAGTGTGATGACATGCGAACTTCGTTTCTGTATTTCGACTGATTTTCAGATAAAAAAATGACATGCGCTTATACGGTAATAAATTATGAATTTTAAAGGGGGGCGCTTATAATCGAGGACCAGATATAAGCGCCCTCATCCTTTTAAAAGTGCCGGCACTTATCCAAGGCCTGCGCTTCTATCCAGGGGCTTACGGTAACTCTAGCTTTCACTACTCTGATTGAGCACAAGTCCTAGTGATAACAATCTCCGATTCGAGCACCATCGTAGTTCGGTAGGCACACTTTTGTGCCAGGCGTCATTCTATCAACACATTCATACCCATTGATCTTCCTATAGCACCCCTTGATGGACTGGAACTGTGTGACTTGGACGCTTTGGCAGGTGTCGGTTGGCCTGAAGAAATACTCGTTGTCCGTTGGACATGTTCCAATTGCAAAGGAACTGGAACTCCTGGTGCATATCTGCAATAGCAACAATAAAAAAGGGAAACGACTCCCTTGAACATCAGAATGCTGCAACCCCCAGCGGCAACACAGCCCCGCACAACCAAACAGGAACGCTCCATTCAGCAAGGCAACGTACCGGGACCTCCCGTTCAAGGGGCCTCATAAACTCAAAGTTATTTGCCGGAATGGGCTGGTTGCACTTGATGCCCGGGTTGAGGCGATACAGCTCCATGGGGCCGAGAGGAGGGACGGCCGTGCTCCTGATGCTGTCACACGTGTCGTCTGCCCGCGGCCGGTGGTACTCGTCACACACCGGAATGCGGTTGGCCTTGGAGGGGTCCCTCTCCAGGCAGACGGCCTGGGAGGGGCTGAGGGAGGAGCAGTTGACAGCGGGGTTGAGCGCCTGAAATGCCGCCTCACACTCCGCATCCGACGCCGCCGCCCCACACAGCTCCACCTGCCGTGCCACCCCCGTGCACGTGTCGCCCTGGGAATACAGCGGGGGGGATGAGAGAGGGGGTGGGGGAGACGGGAGGAGGAGTGGCGGAGGGGGTTTGTGGAAGCATTAAAATGCAAAATCTTAACAGGCGGGGAAAAGAGAAAGAAGACAACATGCAGGGTGAAGCCATTAATACAACTATAACAGTTACTTCTGACTCGAGGTGCACAAGGAAGGCCACCACTGACTCGAGTTGTAAAGGAAGGCACATCCACTACGATGACGTGCAATGGCTGAGAGGATATGGCTGGCACAAAGTAGTACAGGGGATGAGCAACTCAAGCACATAGGGAGGGGGTTTACTGCGTTGGTGGTGTAGAAGACACTGCAGTCACGGATCCTGGGGATCACATACACCTCGCTGTTGATGCGCAGGGGCTTGGCACATGACACGCCCTGCACGTGCGGCCACACAGAAAAAGAATATGTGGTCGAGTTAAACTGCACTGCTTGCATCCTCTGGCATATTGTGAGCAGGTGGAATGAGAGAAGTGAGAAGGGGCATCTTCTCTGGTTGGTGTGTGTGTGTGTGTGTGTGTGTGTGTGTGTGTGTGTGTGTGTGTGTGTGTGTGTGTGTGCGTGCGTGCGTGTGTGTGTGTGTGTGTGTGTGCGCGCGCGCGCGTGTGCATGTGCGTGTGCGTGCGCGCGCGTGCGCGTGTGTGTGTGTGTGTATGTGTGTGCGCCAGTGGCATGTGGTGCTGACCTTGTTGAGCAGCAGAAACTCGGTGAGAGACAGGTTAAAGGCAGCTGTGATGTGCGAGCACAAGATGTTGTCAGCCAGCACTTTGTACTTGCCCTGTGCCTGACCTGCCGCACATACACAGCAATACACATGGAACAAATAACACACATGGTTGAAGAAAGTACTGCAGGGTGAATCCATTATGCCCCCCTGTGAGGGATCTCCTATGCATGCGGAGGTATCTGAGGCACTCTGAACATATGAAGTATAGCAAGAGCACTTGAGGGACATGCCAGTGGAAATCATGGCCGTGGAGTGGATGAACACAGAAAAAGGAAGCAGGATTGATACCAGGAGTGCAGGAGATGCCTCCACCGATCATGGTGCCTTGAATGAAGCCCCATGGACACACACAGGAGTAGCTGCCCTTGCCATCGTTCACACACGTGCCCACCACACACGGGTTGTGACTGCTGGACCCACACACGTCCACTGGGGGGGAGCGCCATGGGAGTAACAAAGATAAGCGCGTGGCATGAGCATGACGGTTAGCATCAGGGTGGCCATTGTGTGGCCAATGACATGAAACCAGCCTGGTTTAACCAGGTGCCACTGCAGAGGCGGCAACAGTGCAGCCACCGCCTCAGAACTTGACAGCACCAATGCATGTTGTGCAAGGAGACGAAAGCATTGACCTAAAGGACACAGAAAGAGGGTAAGAATCTTGTGAGGACACAAAACGGTCGAGGGGGTAGAACCTTTTGCAGTTAAAAGAGGGTGGACACATGTGTAGAAGCACAGAATTTGCGTACAAGGGCAACACATCCATGCTGCAAAACTGTGTGACACAACTAAGCACAGTGCTTCAACAGTGTGTGCTCAGAGCAGGTATACCTAATCGAAAAGACTGTGTGTTCAGAGCAATACATCACCATAAGCATAGGTGCATAATGCCATAAACCATGTGCACATTACCAAAACAGCAGGTGCACATCGCTGCACACAAAGTAGGATATTACCATAGGCACAGGTGTACGACCCATCAGTGTTGTTGACTTGAGTGAAGTGGGCATCAGAGCACGTGCAGCGATTGCTGGTGCCCTTCTTGGTGCATGGGTACTGCCCACATGGGTTGAATGCAGAACCCGTGACAGAGTCCTTGAACGACCGCGACCCACACGGGTCTGCACTGCCTGCGTGGCAAGGGTTGTACAGCAAGACACGCATGGCATGGTTGTCGGGTCACAATGATCTTCACTGCATGCTTATTTGAGCGTGGTGCATGGGTGTACAGCATGGTGTGTGGTGTACAAGCCATGGGATAAAGGTAATAGGAATAGTGTGCGCATGGGTATTTTGGGTATGGGAGAATGAATGGAGCATTAACTATCCTTAGTGGTCGGTTGAACCTGCATGCGAATCACTTAACTGGCCTTGTGATCCATTCCATAGATCATCCTAATGGGGTAAGAGGCATGACCCGCATCCTTCTCAATGCAAAGTGGACTCAAATAAGAAGTGCACAAAGGTCAAAGGTACTTTGACAAGGTAGCAGTCAAGGCCTCACTTCTGACGACGGGGAAGAGGCCCGGGAGAGTGTTGATGCCGCAGATGCCGTCGCCACTGCGAATGTCCATGCGCATGTGGCCCTGGTCGCCCCACCCTGTGCCCCATGAGTTGCGGATGATCCAGAAGGGCGGCGGCAGGGTGGGCTTAGCAGGGTCGACGCCAGAGAGCAGATAGCCCACCACCAGCACTGCATGGTTCAGATGGTCCGTGAAACACTCCTTATCAGCGTATTTGTCGCTCTGAAAGGAAGGATAGCAGGGAATGAGAAACAAAGGATGCACACCAGCGGGTTACAGAATATGAGTGCGAGGGATCATAACACCTCCGCATTGCAGAAACATCAGTACTCTACTCCCAGATACCACTGGCAGCTAACATCTCAACCAATCCGTCCCCTTCTCACTCCTTCCCAGTAGCAGCAACCACCGGCTTAATCCATCCTCTACTTACTCTATCCAGCTCAGCAGCCAGTTCCTACTGCTCATAGCCTCTCCCCTCAATCCTTTTTGTCTTCGTTTGCTAAGTCTCCACCCAGCATTTGCTGGCAACTTTGTTCGAGGATGGCAAAATCCTCACAGCCTCGCACTGTGGACATAATCTTCCTCACACACGACTGGTTTTATACAGATACACATTTCAGGTCCAGGTTATATTTGATTCACCCGTTAAGCGAAGTCTTGGAAGGAGGGTGCCTTACCCCATCGTAGTCTTGGAAGGAGGGTGCGGACGCCTCGATGTGCACAATGACAGGCTGCCGCTGCACAGCCAGCATGAGCCCAAACCACCCGTAGAACCCCGTGCGCTCCATGCCCCGGATGCCATAGTACTTTGGGCTGCTCACCTGTAGGTGGGAACGAGGCACGGCGGGAGGTGCATGAGGTGGAGTATGGAGTGGGACAGAGATCGGGACAGAATGCCACCAACAACAACATAACAACACTGCACCGACACTAAAAGGTGCACCAGTCGCAGCTCAGCTCACTAACCAGTGATCTCCCCTTGAGGGGGAGCCCCTGCGAGTACACGGCGTCCTCGAGCAGCCCGTTGCCGTGGGTGGTGGCGTTGAGGAGGAACTGCAGCGCCTTGGTGGGCGAGCCACCGTCGCAGTTGGAGGAGAGGGCGAGGCGCAGATGCTCCACCGACAGCACGGGGGGCTGCGCCCAGCTGCCCGCGATGCTGTGGGCTGCCTCCACCGCTGCCACCACTGCATATGCCCATGAGTCCGCTGCCAGTAGAAGAAAGACGGGAGGAACAAACAATGCCATTCCTGTGCTAACAAGCATGGAATGTGACATGTATAATCAGGCAGGCTACAGCTAGTTGTACGAAACTCTGTTGTGCTTTTGAAAGCGGCTCGGCATGGACATGAAGTCGAGCTGCAGCGCAATCTGCCTGGCTCAGCTGGAGACTATCTCAAGCCAAGAGTTTCACTTTCAGGTCAACTGATTTCAAGCCCAGCCAGCTCAACGAAAAACGCGCCACACTTGGCTTGAAGCAGAATACGCGACAAGCCTCAAAGGATGAGTGCTACGTGGCCGCCTAGACCTTGCAGGCAAAGTGCCGAGTTGAGAGGCGCATAGCCAGCTGGTGCGCATCTGGCAGGTGGGCATGGCTTAAGGTGGGCCTTTCTCCTCCCCATAATACGGCCCCCACCCAAACCAGCTGAATTTCGCAGAGTTGAATAGATGACGAGTGGGGTCCGGCTCGAGCCGATCAAGCCTCAGCTCAGCTCGTGCACAAACTCAGTGTTTACCATCTGAAAGCATTTGACTTCTCAAAGCGAGGGATTAGAACAAACCAATCTACTGCTCAGTCTTGAAGTGCACAAACGGCAGATCAGAATGCACTGGTTCTTGACACTCACCACATCCCTTTTGGTTCTTGACACTCACCACATCCCTTTTGGTTCTTGACAGGCCAGGTGGATTCAGGCAGGACCCAGGTGCTGAAGGATTTGACAGTCCAGGCGGGGCTGTTGTCCTGCGCGGGGTCGAAGCCCGCACTGGCGTAGTGGAAGGCGGCGTTGAAGCCCTGCGATGAGAAGGAGTCCTCGTCCAACACAAACCCCAACGCCAGGTCTGGTGGTGGTGCGATTGAGAAGATCAACACACAGTAACAAACACATGTTGAGCCATGTCCAATGTTTGGGAGGTGCCAAAAGCGCAGAGCATTGTAAGGATAACGATAGCAATAGAACTGTGCATTTACAGGTTCATGGAAAGCAGAGAAGGTCCCAATCGACATGCTCCATCCATCTCAACTCAGTTATGCCCCCCACTCGATTATGCTGCCCCGTTTAGCTAACAGAATATAATGAAAATAGTGATAGTAGTAATAATAAGTTGCAAGTAACCATCGGATGGTAGTTACCTTCAGCATTGAGAGGAGGCCGTCGTGGCAAACCTGCAATTTGACAGAACACAAGGCAAGCACGTGAGCCTTAATGCAATCAGGAACAAAAAGACACATGTTTTTTTGTTCAGCTGCGGGTATATGTCAACGGATTCATGCCTAGCGTGTTTCTTTAGATGGCAAACGTTTGTTACCACAGTGTCTGTGTATGTACGAGCGTGTGTGTGTGTGTGTGTGTGTGTGTGTGTGTGTGTGTGTGTGTGTGTGTGTGTGTGTGTGTGTGTGTGTGTGTGTGTCTGTATGTCTCAGTCTGTGTTCGTGTGTGTGCGTGCGCGCGCGCGCGCGCGCGCGCGCGCGCGTGTGTGTGTGTGTGTGTGTTGGGGGGGGGGGAGGGGGTGCGTGTGTGTGTGTGCATGCGTGTCTGTGTGCTTATGGTTACGCTGTTGCAAAGTCGCACTCCAAATGCCATGTCGATGAGTTATTGACTGTGTGATTAGGTGATACGCCGTACCCCTATGGCATAATATCTGACTGTGTATCTCGTCTCTTGCACACGGGTCAATGTCCGCCTTCCTTCTTGGTATTAATCCGCACCTGTCACGATTTCCCACTTCAAGACGCTGTTTTCTTGGGCGGCCTCCGTATTTGATGCTACGAAGCTGAAAAAGAAGTTGGTCTCCACAGCAGTAGGCTGCAGGATGGAGCAGAGCGACACTCGAGCACGGAGGGTGGGGGTGAGGGGCTGCTGGGGTTCGGGGGAGAGGAAGAGTCGGAGGGTGCCGCCGCTGGTGGGGTCGTAGTGGATCCAGGCGTGCTTGGTGTGGGCGTCGTTGAGGATGAGAGGGGCCGTGGCAGAGGCGAGGGACACAGGTGAGCCGCCCACATTGACGCCCACGTGGTTGTCGTTGGGGTCGCTGTGCTTCACACTCAGCACCGAGTCAAACTCCACCGCCACACTCCGCCTCCCCACCCCTCCCAGCCCCAACCCCCCTGTAGCAGCCCCCTGGGGTGCGACCGCACTCACAACAAACGCCAGGCCTTCTCCCGCCATGCCCTGGCCTCCTGGTGTCACAGCCTTCATGGCAAAGCTCAAGGAAACGTTGAAGGCAAAGGGCGTGCCGCACGGGCCAGGGCTGTCGATGAAGTGGAAGAGGCGGATGGGCTTCTGCAGAACGGCTGCTCCTGATGTGTTGGCGGCTGATGGTGTGAGGATGAGAGTGCCGTTGAATAGCTGTGTCGCTGCAGCAGCCAGAGACACCGGCGTTGACTGTGACGACTCGGTTGAAGGGAGGACTGCAGTTTCAGCACAAAGCGACGCAGGGTTGCAGATGATTTCAGTGAGCATGTAATCTCAATGAGGAATGAGCGGCGAACAAACCTTCACTGCAGTTGGATGCGCACCGCTGTAGGAGCAGGAGTGGGGTCCTGCCTGGTTGTCAAAGTTGCTATCGCACGTGCACGCTGATTCCTGCACAGACGCATTGAAGGAGCACACGCCATGCCCGCTGCACAGGGGCCGGGCGTCCCCAGCAGCAACCCCACAGAACGCAGCACACTCCTCTGCACTCCTCTGGCGCTCGTAGTTCCCAGCCACCATGGACGCATTGAGCAGGCAGTTCTGAAAGACGTTGGAGTAGAAGGTGCGGTTGGACTTGGGCGGCACGACAGTGCCGTGCGTGAAGTAGTTGCGGTGGGCGTAGTAAAACTGCAGATTGGGCGATGGGGGCGCAGGCAGTCGCCCTGTGAACTGGTTGCTGGAAACGTCGCTGCGAAGTGAAGGGCGGTAAGAAGGAGAGGAACAGTTGAAGTATTGTGTTGGTTGGATATCAAAAACAGAATTATTGAGGTTTTGCAGGCTCACAGAAGGAGTAGACGGTCACACACATACAAAGGATCAGGAATTGCCAGCCAGAGTGAGGCAAGGATGCAGGCACTGAAGCATTGCTGAAGGGGTATGGAATCGAGCAGAATGGAGTAGAATGGCAGGTGTCGGAGATACAGCTATCCCTTCTCTGCCTTCGTCTCCTTGTTCATCTTCTCTTGACTGCGTGTATCCTCAGCCACTCTCTATGAAAGCAAGGCAACTCTCACCTCAAGGGACCTCCCTGAGTGGCGTGCCACCTGTGTGCAAGGCTTAGGTAACAGCAGTCCACTATACGAAAGGATAACAATCGGAAAGCATGATGGGTGTGTGTGAGAGTGAACTTACCTGACCCTGGCTCGAACCGTGCATTTCTCAATGTGCGGCTCGAGCCTGGGTTGGTTCGTTCTCATTGGCTGCATGGATTGCTCCCCTTGGTGCTCTCCTACCAACTTCGCGTCAATTTCTCTGCCCCACCTAACCAACCTCGAACCTGCAAATACAACATGTCTACACCATTACTACACCTCCTCAAAATTGTCGCCTTATATGCACAATCGTGCATATTCGGTGACACAGGCCATGTTGGGCCCCCCGTACGCACTCACAGTGTGAGGAGGTTGGTCATGGTGCTGGTGATGCCGTACATGTCGCCTGAGAGAGAGTTCCTGTTCAAAATGCTGATGAGTTGCATGCCACATGGTAAGCAAGCGGGACACAGTGCGCACAGCAGCAAGTGACGCTTTAGTTAGGCCTCTACTTGGCGCTGTATGACTCTCAAGGATCAGCAGAAGCTGCAGAAAAAACTGCAAAAGAATACATCTCCCATAATGAAAACGAGTCTGGCTTGTACTTACAAGAGGTCAAGATTCTGGAGGTTTGAGTATGATCTCGGAACAGTGCCAGTAAGGTGCATGCTCTCTAGGAACCTGCACACCACACACACGCCATCTCAGCCGCGCTGCAACAGCAAACAATCCGAGAAGGCCATTTGGGATGTGAAATGAAGAAAATGGAGTTCCCAGTGGAAGCTCTTGGACTCGTATCTTATTGCACATGGAGTGGGGGCATGTGGTTTTGTTAGAAAGAGATTTTCTCGTCAGGTAAACTCGGTACTCCATGTTGTGTTGGTGCAATATCACACGGACTCAACCTGATAACATGGCATCGCAGGAACGCACGCTTAATCGTTACCCAGCAGCAGAGCAGATGCGAAGGGAGCAGGGAGCGAAAAGGGACGTCAAAAGAAAGCGAACTGGAAGGTAAAACGAAAATGGCTGCGTTCAGGAGATAGCCAAGACGGAGAAAAGAAGCGGAGAGGCAATGGATTTCGCACAGGACATCAAGCCGAGTGAGGGTTCCTAATGACGAAGGCAGGGTTCCAGAAATGTTTGTCCATCCCAACTGCCTGCGATGGTGTGATGCGAATCGCAGAAAGGTGACTGGAAGTGAATAGTGCAGAGATTTTTTCTTTCTTTTTTTTTGAGCAATAAAACCAGTAATGATGAAAGAGGAGATGCTGTGAGGTCCAACGGAATCAGCTCGTTGGACCGATAGGTGATGGTGATGGTGATGGTGATGGTGATGGTGATGGTGATGGTGACGGTGATGGTGAAGGTGAAACGTTTCCTGAACACTTGGAAGAAAACTATTGAGTTGCCTGTCATACTACATGTCATTTCCGAGTTGTTAACTATTGAGTTGCCTGTCATACTACATGTCATTTCCGAGTTGTTAATTATTGAGTTGCCTGTCATACTACATGTCATTTCCGAGTTGTTAACTATTGAGTTGCCTGTCATATTACATGTAACTATTGAGTTCTATGTGTGTGTGTGTGCGCACGCGCACACGCGTGTACGTGGGCGTGAGGAGTGTGTGAGCGTGCGTGACGGCGTGCATGTGTGCGTGCGTGTGTGTGCGTGCGTGTGTGTGCGTGCTTGCGTGTGTATGTGCGTGTGTGTATTTTTGTTTAACAAAATTAACTACTGTAACTTTTTTTTGCTACTATGAAATCAACACGCACACACAAAGAAAAACGAAGGCAGGAGTATATTTCGAGATTCGCATCACCTTCACGTGGAGGGAAATTTCAAATAGTGGCTGCAGGAAAAGTCGGACGTTGTGGAAAAATGAGAAGCTGCTGCGAGACTGGCAACAACATGTTCAATTCTCACAGGTTACTTAGCCGGCTGAGTGCTCCAAGAGAAGCAGGAATGGTTCCATTCAGGCTGCTTGACGCAAGAATGCTGACAAAAATGGTAGGGGGAATGAAACACACAAAAAAAATCGTACAGGCAATGTTGGGCTGGGGGGACAGGGCAAGAGGAGGACCTGAGAGATACAGAAAGGGGGAAGCGGAGGAAGAAATATGGGTGAGAATACGGTAGATAAGGAACCGCTGCTTGAGCACTTCACTCATGTTGCTCTGCCAGCACCGCACAGACCACGTTCACATCACATCACATCACATGACATGTGACAAATGCACTGACAGGCAAAACTGGCCAAGCTCCAGCCACCCACGCCACAAGTTAGTCATCGTGAAAGAGCACCCGCCAAACTCACTGTTCCCCAACATGCCTTTCTCCTCGCCCCTCTCGCTTGATCTTGACAAGCTCGCTGCACACTCGCTGACTTCCCCAGCAGAAGAGTTGGAGCCGGCCTATCAGGAGAACCCATCTGCATGGACCTTCACTAAACCCATGGGGCCACTGATGACAACACTGTGATGAGATCTGGCTGCATCCACCAACTTACACTTCCTGTGATAGGCACACTGTATCTGTATGTGGCTGCACCGCACAGTGACGACGCACAGCCGCTTCCTCCCTACGCTGCTCACATCCACACTTGCATGAAAGCCACTCTTGAGTTATGACTCACAGCTCTTCCAGGTTCACTAGGTTGTATAGCTCTGCAGGAATAGACCCTTCAAGGAGGCGGTTCTTTCCGATGTCACTGCACGCAAGAGAGTTGAAAAAGCTGTATTTGAGTTGAGAATCGGTGGTCTCCAGCCCAGCTGGTGCTGAGTGCAATGCAAGTGCACAAACACCATGGGAGGAACATATGAAACAAGCAAACGGCCCCTGTATCTCCGCGGTGCAACGCAATGGTGCAATACCTCACAGGCTTCACTAGGCTTTGAAGGAATCCTTGACAGGCTCGTGATATTCGTGAACGTACAGTGTGGTAAGCTGCGTCAGGCGGCTAAGAGAAGCGGGTATGGTGCCATTCAGATAATTCCCTCGTATCTGGCTGCAACGTAGAATTTCAAGAGATAAATGTGGCGAACACCATTCAATACCTCGAAAAAGCAGCTCTCATATGCCACGGTTCAGTGTCATTTTGTGTGCACTCATGCACGTGGGTGGGAACTGGATAAACCAGCAAAGGTTGCATCCACGAAAACAGGAACCAAACATTATGCAGAGAACCCCTATCTTTACAGCTGGGGGTCAAGGTAGAAGCTCAAACGCAGCTACAAAATACCAAAACAACACCAATAGGACGTGTTGGCAACGCGAGAGGCACCAGCATTCATGGGCACGTACAGGCTAACCAGCCTGGGCATTGTCGATATCCAATCAGGGATGGTCCCAGTCATACCCGTCGCACTTAGGTCCCTGAGCACCTCAACCAAACGAAATGGGGGAGGATGGGGAAGAGTGAGGGAAAGGGAAAGAGGGTGCGCAGGAGGGGGGAAGAAGCAAGGGATGGTAAGAGCTTGCATATTCTGCTCAATGTGGCAGCCAAAGGCGCTACGTGGAAATATATATATACTGCAACGTAATGCCTAGGTACGCAAGGCTGGATCAGGTTACAAAAGCACTTCACATCACAGTCAAAGAAAGGTTTTCTCATATCAACGCAACGCATCATTACAAAATGAATGGCAGGATGACGCATCCAAATGCCTACCAGGGTAGCTGGTGTATCTGACTCACAGCGTCTGGAGAGTGGTGATAGAGCCGATAACAGAGGGGATGGTCTCCATAAGCATATTCCCCACGAGGTTCCTGGCCAGGATAAGGTGTCGCATGGCACACACATGCTCTGGTGAGGACTTGCCCTCCGTGTGAGAAAGAGAGCAAATGCATTGTTCGCTGAGAATCAGCGTAATGGCACAAGACAGACACCACCATCTGACTACTTCCGCATGTTTGTCCCCGCAAAGCAGACAATGCCCCGTGATCTTTTCCATTGCCAGCCAGCACAAGCCTAACCCCTGCCCTCGTTCCATGACCTCAAACCTCTGTGCACATTACAGTGATATGAGTTGGCTGAGGTGAGAAAGTGCCTCGGGTAGCGGCCCGAACAAGTAGTTTTCGTTCAGGTTGCTGCAGAGGACGCAATGCATGCATGCACAGTAGAGAGACGGATTGCTTGCAAAGCAGTGCGTGCTATGAAGAACATTAAACAGAGCTGTGATCGTGATTGCAGCAACTGTGCAATTACTGCAGGGTGACTGATTGCGCAGTGGTTGCACAGTGATTGTGCAGTAGTTGTGTGGTGGCACTGACAGGTACGTGAGGGCCGAGAGCTTGCTGATGTCGTCTGGTATGGCACCGAACAGGAGATTCGTACTCAGCTGCCTGCTCCCATGGCCACAGCGCAGCGCACACAGGGATGGGCAGCGACGGCGACGGATGGGGGATTGGGTTGGGAGAGGATGCTCAGGGATAAGGACGCAGTGGCGGACAGACTCGGCATCAGAGAGGGAGGTGGATGGTACAGAAAGCAGAAGGTATGCATACGGATAAGTGGAACATATGTCGTGCAAAGAGAGCAGAACAGATTACAGGTGTGGGAGGAGCAGGTAGGTGGCAGTCCTGTAGACTGTAGTGCGAAGCAGAGTCCCACCAGAGCTCTGCTCTCGAACGGTCCTTAGTATAAAAACTACTTGTTCGGGCCGCCAGGGGCTGAGAAGGGTTTACCTGTCCCTCTCCAGTCCTCAGTCTAACATACTCACTCTACGACTGCACTGAAACCTTGATCCCGGCCACTGCCTACATACATGCAGTGCTCCAGTCCCCAGCCCCTGGGGAGGCACCCAGTGAGCACGCACAGGCTCTTGAGAAGAGGTAGGTTGAAGAGGCCGGAGGGCAGGTAGCCTATTAGACGACTGGACGTGATAGATCTGACGCACACAAGGAGAAGGGTATGGGAGGAGTGGGAGCGATATGGGAGGGGACGGAGGAAAGGTGGGGGGAAGGCGTGAAGATAGAGAAAGGGGTGGACGTGCAGTGATCAGTAGACAAGGTTCAAAGAACCGAAAGAGTTGATAGAAGAGAATGCTGGAAGGGTGTGAGATAATGCACAAAACGGAGGCTGGAGAATATCTGAAACTGCTCAGTGCTCACTCTAGCCTCAGTCCGTGCTGTTTGCACTTCTTCTTTCTTCCCGTGGGCTGCTTGTTGCTGTTCCATACTCCCTCCCAACCACGTACAGGAATGTGAGGTGCTGCAGGCCGCTGATCTCGTCTGGGATGAAGGAATGCAGGTCGTTGCCTGCTGTTGACCTGATAATGCACATCGTCTTGAGCAAAAAAATATCAAGTTCTGTTGCGCACACTGATGCACATCATTTTGCCTGATGTTGAACTGGTGACGCACGCAGGTCATGTCGAGAAAAGAAGTAATCGTGACTTTAGATGAGCGCTTGTGCGAGTGGGATGTGTGCAGAGTAACATTGGGAACCAGCTGCTACGATGCGTGTGCCGCAAAGACAACATGTGTCTACGCGGTACACAGGAAGTGGCAGAGATGAGACCACATGGCATGCAGGGAGAGAAGGATGACTTGGGAGAGACAAGGCTGAAGACTGCGCGACTACTACTCACAGCGAGAGCACGTAGCCATTGGAATCGCAAGTGATGCCCTGCACCGTGGAGCAGTCGCTGTTGGGCGACCAAGACTTGCCGTCAGCAAAGCCACCCCACGACTCCAGCAGCTGCTCCAGCACGCTGACTGTGCGTGTGGGAGGCAGGGGAGCAGCATGGGGCAGGTTGGTCGCGTTGGAAATCGGAAGGTGACGGGGGGAAGATTGGGTTTTGTAAGCATTCAAATACAGGAGGGCGGGAGGGGAAGGAGGGAAGGAGGGAGCGAGGGAGAGGAGATATAACACCTCGCTACCCATTGGGTCAAAACGAGGGTGTTATTTGGCGCAGCGGAACCCCCTTAACACAGCCCACATGCGGTTACATTCCTCCCCTGGTGCCAACGTCTAGGGAGTCGGCCCCCGCAGGGACCTCAATTTTGCTGCACTCCAAGCAGCGACTTTAGCTGGTGGGGTCAGGCCACCGGAGGACCATTCGCTGGGATTGAGTCAAATAGCCACATTTCAATTCTCGCTATATGCGGAAAATGTGCACCAGCCGAGATTCGAACTCTAGGCTCCGGTACCAGTGTAACACCTCGCTACCCACTGGGTCAAAACGCTGGCGCAGCTCACAAGTGGTTGTAAGAGGGATGCAGGTTCGAAAAGTACAACAGCTAAAGTGGAAAGAGAGGAAGGTGAGATGAACAGCGCACTCGCACCCACGTGCATCAACGACCACGAGGGTGTATTACAAACAACTGACCCTTTACAAATGGGTTTTGCACCTGTTAGTCTCCTAGAACGTGCGAGTTCAGGGTGAAAAATGGGGCAATATAGAGGATAGGTGATGTGATGGTTGATAAACTCCGACCAGGATCTATGTTGACAGCCCATTAAAGCCAGGGTCTCAAGCAGATTAAGCGCTTTGCACTTGATGGTGAAAGTTTGGTTGTGATTGGGTGGCGAAGTTGAAGGTTCGAAGTGGGCCGAAGCGAGGGGTGCGAAGAAAACTCAAGTCGTTGGGTGTACCCAAACCTTCTAGGCTTGGAAACTTGGCTCGGAGCCAAACCTAAAATGCCCCCAACTCATCCGAAGTCTCAAGTACCAAAAAGTGTTGTGCAATCGCTTCTGGGGCACTGACGGGGTGTGTCGCAAGCTGACTTTCCAACCCAACCAGAAAGAACTTCGTGAACAGAAACTATGTAACATAGCTTCAACTGCTTTGCAGTTGACGGCCCCTTAGCTTACTTGAGACCCTGGCTTTAACACGACAGTTTCAGAAGTAGAGATGAGCTATTACTAATGATGGAAGACGAGCAAATCAAAAAGGCATGACTCACAAGGAAACGGTGAGCTTCATACCCTCAAACAGTCACGCCACGGGTGCCACGTGCATCCCCTGCCACGTGCACCCCCCTGCCACGTGCATCCCCTGCCACGTGCACTCACAGTCTGAGGCCTGTATTCGCCGCGCCGTCACCACTGTGGTGCCATTCGGCGCGCAGATAAGCAGCAGCAGAAGCAAAACAAGGTTCTGCACGGGGAGAAGGGGCATCGGGAGTGAGAAGGAAGGCAAGGGCGGGCCGGGGAGAACCTGTGCCGCGTAGTTTTTTCCGGCAAGTCACGAGCTCATGTGTAACGTAACCCTAACGGAGATACTTTTACTGAGGCTGTAAGGATGGCGAAGGCGCGGGGGAAGGGAGAAAGGCCGACTGGACTCCCACCGAGGTGACTGCAGCGGCGCAACCCGCGCGGGTGGAGCATTAAGAGGCGTAGTGAGCGGCGTCATTGAAAGAAAAACGTCGCATCGGACAACCCAAAACGGACCTTCATAGCGCATGGTCGAACGATGCTGGTCAAACGGGGAGGGGTAGGTCGCGGAACTTGGATGTGCGGCGATGGAGTGCTACTAACTAACTAAGGACAGCAATGGTCCACGTAACAACGCTGAGATTTCCAACAACTGAATTTAACGCCTCTCTATTCAGAAATAGTAGGCCTTTCGCTGGACTAAAATATTCCCGGGCTGGAATGACTTTCGTTGACTTGCATGGATTATGTGCTGTCGAGATATTTCGCAACTCTCCGTCCAGCAATGCCCTCAAACACCCCCGACGTACTCGATAAACTGTACATCATTACTAGATATCACCAGATGGATGATGCAAATACTGTATGGAAACATCTAAGGAGTCTTCACAAACGGTACAAGACAACTCGTTAGCAGTGCCCTTGCCTAATTTTATAGCTAAGGAGGTTAATGAGTCGCAAGTCGTTGCTGAAACAGAATAGCGTATACCCATATATTACCGTGTCCATTCGGATCAGACCCCAAAATATCCTTTTGACCTTTTTGGCGGCCGCTTTTTCGGAGTTGCCCTTTCACAGACAATGTAATCGGATTTTTACCCTAGCTCAAAAAGTGTAGTTTTTTTTTTTTACATCGTACCAAGTTCAGGAGAAGAGACAAGAGCACACAAGGTGTGTCTGAAATGATGATGCGTTTAGTTGCGATAATGCACAGAAATACGTTTTTTTTCCCCGATAAACAAAGAGCGCTGACCCTGCACAATCAAATGTCAATATTTCTCAACACTAAGCAATCAGGGTGCCGTTTTTCTGGAAAATGTGCCGTCTGAAATTTTTATTTCTGGCTGGAAATCAGGGTGCTTAAATCTGAAATGTCGGCCTTGATTCGTACTGGGACCTGCCCAATGGGCATATTCTAGCACATGATAGGGTGAAAACACTGCCAACGTCGAGCGACGAGGGTTCATGCACTCTCCGCGGCTGGTGTCACGCACGGTTTTGCCCTGTAACCTGGCCTCTCGATATCAGGGTGAATTACCCTTATGACACTTACTATAAGGGTGGTTTTGGATTTGCACCCTTATTTGTGAGAGTGGAAAAAAAATCGACCCTTACAATAGAAAGTGTTTGATTATAGGACACTGATATTTCAGGGCTAGGTGGTGTAGGAACACTGAAGACATCGAGTTTGATCTTACGGGGGCTAGTAAACTTGTTCGTGTAAAACGAATTGTACTCGTTAGACGACAGCACTAGGCATCGAACCTGGGTGGTACACGTCACAACGACAATCTAACCCACTACAGCACCACGACATTCATACATATTAAATGTGGTATTTTTTTTGCTCTCTTGTTTTTAAGAGTAGTTTTTGTGTGGCACCCTTACAGAAAGAGTGAAAGCGGGGTGTTGGCCTTACGAGAAAGACTATCTCAAATCCTTTCTAGAGGCCTGCCTGTAACCGTTTTGGGCACATCCCTTTGCTTGAGAAAATGATTTTGGGCATGCCTCTTTTGGACATATTCTTTCGAGCAAGTTCTGGAAAACGGGCCTCATAATAAAGAATCAGCCCAAAAAGGGGGTATAAAACAAACGAGGTCGACTATAACACCCACCCCGCAAAAGCCACCCGAGGGGTCTTTAATTTCGGCGGGTGGTATGTCCGGGTGATTACGGTACTGTTACGAGCAGGATTCTGTTCATTTTCGCATCCGTAAACAGTCTCGGAAGACGAAAGCTTTGTGCACCCAAGCCAAACAGGGTCAATCAGACAGTGTTTTGCCGCCAAGTAACTGCAAGTGTCGAGACTGAATTGTTCCCTGCCAACTAGCATGAGATTTTGATCTCGCCTCATTACTTAGCGTTCGACACTGTGCTAACTGGCACTGAATGGAGCAATGCTAAACTATTTTTACAGTTTTAGATATGCTTTAGTGGGTTCTATCTTAGGGCACCAAAGTTCTTGACACTCTTCTTGTACCCCCCTTCCTTCACCTACTCTATCATTCACTATTCTACCCTGTAACGCCCTAACGCGCGCGCAGTAGCACCTGCATGCCACGTGCACAGTAGTCGCCACCGCGCGCATTGAAGCCTCCCCCACGCGCCGCTGTTCACCCTGCCCGCGCCCCGCCCGGTTCCGTTACACACCCTGCCCTACTGCTTGCGCGCACAGTCATACGCATGCTACCGCACACACAGCAGCAGCCCCTCGTGTCAACGGAAGTTGTTGTAGGCCCCATTCTCGCTTGGGCGGAACCGACTTCGTGGTCGGGTGCGCGGAGGCCGCAGCCGACCTGCAGCAGTGGGCGAGCTGGTCGACGGGGCTGGTCGACCTGCACGAGGACCACTGCAAGGGCGTCGACTTCAAAAGGGCGCCGACTTCGGATGGTCGACCTGGGAGGTCGACCTGTGGATGCGTCGACTTGGTGACGCCGACCTGGGGAAGCCGGCTGGGTGAGGTTGGCGGATAGACGTGCTGGTCGACCTAGAGCTGGTCGACTAGGAGTGACGTCGACCTGGAGCTGGTCGACCAGGGGGTAGTGGTCGACCTGGGGAGGTCGACTGGAAGTGGTCGTCGACCTGGGTGGTCGACGGGCACGCACAGGAGCAGCTGGTCGACGTGGTTGCCCGGTCGACCAGGTTACCTGGGTGACGAGGTTCTGCGGAGGCACGCGACGGTCGCCCAGGCGAGGTTGGCGAGGACGACCTCGGTGGTGGTATCCCGAGGTCGACATGGCAGATCAGTTGCAGTCGTCCGCACGAGATGGACTTGGTGTGTGCGCTGTGCTAGTGACGAGGCCCGGCACGCCAATCATCTGCGGACACTTGCGAAGCGGGTGCGATGCTGTACTGCGGGAGCAACGCTGGCACGCCATCGACTTGCGCTGTTGTCACGCCGTCGACCTGCAGTGTTGGCAAGCCGCGACTCTGCACTGCTGGAGCGCGGTCAACCAAGTCGTGCTGGCACGCGGTCGACCGTGCTGCGCTGGCAGTCGACCTGCTTGCATCCTAGCTCTGATGTAGTCTAGCCTTGCCAACTTCATTGTACCATTGTTGTGAACTTTTGCTAGTGAAACTCTTGCCAACTTTCCCCTGTGAAGCAGCAAGAAGTGTAAGCACAAGTAAACGACTAAGTGGATGAACGCAGAGATCACACGAGCACTCGTGCCTAGCCCGTAGTCTAGCTCCCGTTGTAGTAGTTATCTCCGCACCTCGCACAGGCGCTCGCACAGCAGCTGATGCGCGCACTCACTCCCACGCTCCCCGTCTACCCGTATAGCCATATGCGCGCTTAGGGTTGCTGTACACACACTTACCGTTATCACCGGAAATATCCCACATGTGGGCTTATCCCATAACTAGGAGAATTTGTTGGGTGGGTTTAAAGTAGAGTTTTTTTTTTTTTTTTTTTTTTTTTTTTTCCCATGGGCTAATTAAATGACACTTATAGAGATTCGATTTCAATATACTGGAATGTAGGTTTTACCCTTGCGGTGTCAATCGATGCTAACACAAAGTGCGTCGCTACTGAAAATTTCCGAGATTGTGTCAGACTAGCAAGAATCCCCTGTTAAACTGTATTATGCTTGTAGGCTGTAGTGGGGTAGCCAATATGGGGTACAACCCCAACTAGGGTTTCATATTTGTACCCAAACTTCTGCTAGTTCATTCATTCTTGCCTAGTTATTTTGAGATGGTATTCAGAGCAGGAGGTCCCTAGGACCTACCGACCGTTTTTTTTTAAGGGCCCACCACCGCTCGCATGCGGTTACCACGCTACCCCGTGCCCTAGCCTCGTAGCGCCCTCGTGCGCCCTCGTTAGCGCCCTCGCGCGCCCCTCGTTAGCGCCCTCGCGCGCACCCTCGTTAGCGCCCTCGCGCGCCCCTCGTTAGCGCCCTCGCGCGCCCCTTGCTAGCGCCCTCGCGCGCCCCTCACTAGCGCCCTCGCGCGCCCCTCGCAGTGTCGCCCGCCCGCCGAGCCGCCCGCTCGCAGCCCGCTCGTCCCGCTGCCCGCTTCGCAGCCCGCCCGCCCGCTCGCTGCCCGCTTCGCGGCCCGCCCGCTTCGCAGCCCGCTCGCCCCGCTGCCCGCTTCGCAGCCCGCCCGCCCGCTCGCTGCCCGCTTCGCGGCCCGCCCGCTTCGCTGCCCGCTCGCTCGCTGCCCGCTTCGCGGCCCGCCCGCTTCGCAGCCCGCTCGCTCGCTGCCCGCTTCGCGGCCCGCCCGCTTCGCTGCCCGCTTCGCGGCCCGTCCGCTTCGCAGCCCGCTCGCCCCGCTGCCCGCTTCGCAGCCCGCCCGCCCGCTCGCTGCCCGCTTCGCGGCCCGCCCGCTTCGCTGCCCGCTCGCAGCGCCGCCCGCCCGCCCGCTACCTGCTTCGCAGCGTCGCCCGCTGCCTCACTGCCCGCTTGCTGCGCAGCCCGCCCGCCGCGCTTCTCGCCTGCTGCTCCCTGCCTGTGCACCGCCGCTTGCTCCTGCTGTGGCTGCTAGCTTCGCTCTAGCGCGTCCCCTCTGCTGCTGCCGCTGCTCTGCTGTGCCCTCACGCCTGAGCTATGGCCTCTATTCGCGTTCTTTCCTTCGATGCTGAGGGCCGTCCCGTGCAGTTCACTTCCTGGCTCGACGACCTGCAGTTGTATCTTATGAGCAATAGCACGGACCACATCTCCCTCTATGACTACGCGTCTGGTGCTGCCGCTGCTCCTGCTGCCACAGCCGAGCTTAGTGTTCGTTCCCACTGGCAGACTCGTGACGCAGCTGCTCGCCTAGCCATTCGCAGTCACCTGCCGCTAGCTGAGCTCGAGCATTTTGGCGACTGCAAATCCGCTAAGGCCCTGTACGATGCTGTCGTTGCTCGCTACTCCTCGCCTGCCACAGCCGAGCTTAGCCGCCTCATGCTGCCGTACCTGTTCCCCGATCTGTCCACCTTTACTACAGTCGCCGATCTTATCACCCACCTTCGC